GCTCTACCACTTGAGCCACAGTGCCACTTCCGGCTTTTTTTTTCTTATGTGGTGCCGAGGAATCGAACCCAGGGCCTCAGGCATGCAAGGCAAGTGCTCTACCACTGAGCCACCTTCCCAGTCCCTACTTGCACATTATTTAGGTGGAGCAGACAGTAAGCACATTTCAAAGAGAGAGAGTTGGGGGTATGTGAGCAATAATACAGTTGTTTTTTTTTGTCGGTCATGGGGCTTGACCTCTGGGCCTGGGCGCTGTCCCTGAGCAGCTCAAGGCAAGTGCTCTACCACTAGAGCCACAGCACCACTTCGGGTTTTCTGAGTGGTTTATTGGATATAAGAGTCTCATAGATGTTCCTGCCCAAGCTGGCTTTGAACCATGATTCTCAGATCTCAGCCTCCTGAGTAGCTAGGATTACAGGCATGAGCCACCCACTGGTGCCTGGCTAAAACAGAATATTTTAAGTAGAGGAGATTGAACAAAAAGTATGCCAGTGGGGCTGGGAAGGTGGCTCAGTGGTAGAGTGCTTGCCTGGCATGCATGAGGCCCTGGGTTTGATTTCTCAGCACCACGTAAGCAGAAAAAGCTGGAAGTGGCACTGTGGCTCAAGTGGTAGAGGACTAGCCTTGAGCTGAAGAACTGAGAGACAACACCCAGGCCCAGAGTTCAGGCCCCACATCAACCAAAAAAACAAGTTAGCCAAGCAAACTACTTTCGCTGCTGTTCATATTTTTAAAAGAAGGTATAGTTAATATTTTAGGCTAGGAAGAAAAGGTCCATGAGACACTGAAAAAATTAATTTGTAAGTTTCAGTCCCTTCTTCCGTACTCACTCATTTTCAGGCATACACAGAACATAACACCAGCATTCTTCTTTGTTGCTTGGAGTTATCTTTCTAAATTTCCACTTAACAGTTGTCTTCTCTATAAGAACCATATAATGCAAATCTATTCATCTACTATTTTGTCCACAACCACTTTATCCTGTGACACATTATATTATAATTATTCCTGGCTTTGTAGTTTGTATCCTCAACTATTAGTATTTATGTAATAAATTGGAATTCTCCAACTTGATTTTTTTGTTTATGTTTGCATTTACATATGAGGTTGAAAGAGTGATTAAAGATAATTGAGAATCCAGCATCAATTAAATAATGCCAAGGACCAGATTAGTTTTCTGAATTCCACTAACCCTTTTTCAAGTTAGACAACTTCTAAATGATGCCAGAGACAGAAGAAAAAAGTCTAGAGGAATAATACGGTCCCATCTTTTGTTAATGAACTTTAAGTTAAAGCTGAGAGGAAGCTGGATCATGAATCACATCTTCATAATTGTTTCTGACTCTAAATTATTTGCTATGTTATATGAAAGTATTTCCTCTTTTTCTGTGTAGTCTCATGCAGATAGCATAATGAAGCCCACGAAATGCTGTTTGACACAGGGATGGGAAGAAAGAAGGAATAGGAATATGATGGAGGAGGTGAATTTGTTCAAAGTACACTGAGTACATATATAGGAATATCACAAGGAAACCCCTTTATATTATCAATATATGTTAAGTCACAACTAATAATAAAGACAAATTAAGACATATTTCTTACAGATGAATTCTTTGACATGTGCAATTTAGAAGTATATTGTTCATCTGGGTACTGATGGCTCAAGCTTTTAATTTAACTACTCAGGAGGCTGAGATCTGAGAAGTTTGATTTGAAGCTAGCCTAGGCAGGAAAGTCCATGTGACTCTTATTTCACTTAACCACTAAAAAAAAGCCAGAAGTGGACATGTGGCTCAATTGGGAGAGTATGACTTTGAGAAAAAGAAAAAGAAAGCTCAGGGACAGCACCAGGCCCTGAGTTCAAGCCCCAGGACCAGCACACACATACATGCACACACACACACACACACACACGCACACACACACACACATACACACACACACACACACACACACACACGCAGAAGTGTACTGTTTAATCTTGACACTCCACAGTTTGGGGTCATTAGGTTTCTAGATTTGGTTTCTGGCCAATTCTGTTATGGTCTGAGAGGAGACATTGCATGATTTCTGTGCATTCAATTCTGTTAGGCTTTCTTATATGATCCAGAATGTGGCTTATCTTAATGAGTATTTCAACAAAGAGAAGCTTGAAAGAAATATGTTTTGTTCTTCCTGGATGAAGCAACATATGATCATATCTAGTTGGCTAACAATGTTTTGAGTTCAACACTATCTTTACTGATTATATACCAGGAGGTTCTGTGCATCTGAGTTAATATCTCCGATTGTACTAGGGATGTCCTCGAGTTCACTGAGCTGTATGTTGCCAATGCTATGATGCTTTTTCATTGTTTTCCATGTGTTTTTTTTTCTTTTCTTTTCTTTTTCTTTTTTTTTTTTGGGTCCAGTTGTGGGGCCTGAACCCTGAGCCTGGGTGCTGTCCCTCAGCTCTTCAGCTCAAGGCTAGCACTCTACCACTTGAGCCACGGTGCCACTTCTGGCTTTTTTTCCTGCTTATGTGGTGCTGAGGAGTCGAACCCAGGGCCTCAAGCATGCAAGGCGAGCACTCTACCACTGAGCTACCTTCCCAGCCCTCCATGTGTTTTCTGTGGTGATTTTCTTCACTGTTACCATGGAGATTATAAACACCTCATAGTTATAAGAACAACAAATTTTAAGCTAATAACAGCTTACCTTAAATAGTTTATATCTCTCAACCTCACTTTACTCATTACTGGGTCATAAATGTCATCTTTTATGGTTTACATATTATTCTGGAAACAGATTTTCTCTTATGCCATCCTACTGCTGTCCCAAAGGTTTTATAATTTTTTAATATAAAACTTATTTAATTAAAATTTCACTTAAGAATATATTTATAATAGATAATCCTGCAATGAACATGGTTGTGCTGGTAGCTTTAGTGTTTATGATAGCCAAGATATAGAATCAGCCCAGATGCCTCTCAACAGATGAATGAGAATATAGCATATATATATATATATATATATCCAATGGAATTCTAGTCATCCATCAGAAAGAATGACATTGTACCATTTGTAGGAAAGAAATGGAAAGACTTGGAAAAAAAGATATTAAGCAAAGTGAGCCAGACCCATAGAAACAGAGGCTGCATGGTGTGCCTCATTTGTGGGAGCTAGAATGTGCCTACAAATCTACAATAAATGCACTGGGTGGTAAGCAAGGAATTACAAATGAATTAACTAAAGTGCAATAGACTTTATGGAGAGTGCAAATAGTATACTTCTTTAAAAAGGTCAAAGCCCAACAAAATAAGTACTTGCAAGAGGGGAGGGTAGGATCATGGGGAGAAGAGTAGAAGAATGAAGGAGAAA